TGGGATGGGGAATTTCCTGTGACCCTGCTTCCTGCCCTGACCCTATTTAGGCCTGGACAAGCATAGGCCCTTTACCCCATGCCACGTGTCTCCGCGTTCGCATTCTGTGTCTTGTTTCCTGGCTCTTCTCCAGTCACCATGGCGTCTCTATATAGGTCTCCAATGGAGTTGAATTGGTTTGTTGGTATTATTTTTGTTCTTTCTTTCCTCTCTGGCCTGTTTCCTAAGAGTGTTAAGTGTATTTGTGGGCTGAGGGCCTTTGTAACCCTGCAGATTGCTAATGCTCTAATTAAGACTCCAAGATTCGATCTTTCAAAATGCTGCTTCTCTGAATTCTCACCTTACAACACTGGAAGCAGGAATTTTCCTGAGCCCACACATTCCATTCCCCGAGAACAGCTGCAAATAAGAAGGAAAGACCTTGTGGTCCTGTGTCAGCATGTTGGGGAAGACTACCCAGAGACATCATCATGAACCCTCTGATTTCCAAACATCATAAGGCTTGTAACATTTGTGATACATGGGACCATATGATAATTTTTAAGTAAGTTCTTGAGAATATGAATTTCAATTTATCCTGTGATAGCATCTCCTTTGAAAACATCAACTGAAATACTCTTCTTTGTGGAAGGCAGCGTTAACGCAAGCCCTAGTCCCACGAGTAATAATGTTATAGGGTATGTCTGGAAGGCATCTGAATTTTGTGTTGGTCTGGAAAAGTGTTTCCAAAAGTGCATTCCCTTCTCTACAATGAGATCTTAGATACAGAATTATATGTAGAACTGAGCAAAAAAAAACATTTTGGAGGAAAGGTGGGGTTGAGCCATGCCTCTGTTCTGAATGCAAGAGTTTGGAGATATTCCTCTGTGTCTTTTTTCGAACAGTTGTAAAAGCTCAGATGACATTCGATGAGATTGGATCCTGTTTACTACTTACCTTTAAGGTTGAATCATGTTTCATTCTGAAATGTCAGAAATGGGGGATGTTTTCCCAATTTCTATTTGCTAAGCATATAGTACATATTTCCAAGGCAAAGTCCTTATAGAGCGGAGATCGAGCTCTTCACCCAGTTCCTATGGAACAATGACTTTTAAGTAACAGAATTTCTATGTATAATGGGTGGGAGACTGACGGGACTGTCCTACTTTTACAGCTCCCTGTGTACTGGCTGCATCATCTGTTTGGGACTGAGGATTCCTTGAGAGGAGGGATCATTTTCTTTTGAATCATCTTTGTATTCTTTGCCATTCCTTGCCTAGAGCAGGTGTTCCCAAAGATCTTGCCAAATCAAATTGGAAAAGGAGAGCAGAGGACATTCTGGAATTGAATTACACTCCAACACACCTGCTTCTATGTATGCAAGATACATTTTTAACATTTAGCATTAGGGGATTGTTTTGGCTTGGATATGCTTTTAGAATTATTCATTGTTGCTTTAAGACATTAATTCATCTTCTCTTAAAAATGATTTAAAAAGCTGGGTGCCAATAGCTCACACCTGTAATCCTAGCTGCTCAGGAGGCTGAGATCTGAGAATTGTGGTTCAAAACTAGCCTGTGCAGGAAAGACTGTGAGACTCTTATCCCCAATTAAGCATCAGAAAACCAGAAGTGGCGCTGTGGCTCACATGGTACAGCACTAGCCTTGAGCTGAAGAGCTCAGGGACAGCTCCCAGGTCCAGAGTTCAAACCCCAGGAAAAAAAAAAAAAAAAAAAAAAATTCTATGCCTCCATCAAAAAGAATGACATTGTGCCATTTGTTAGGAAATGGAAGGCTTGGAAAAAATTATATTAAGTGAAGTAAGCCAGGCCCAAAGAAACATAGGTCCCATGGTTTCCCTTATTTGCAATATCTAGTATATGTCTGAGTTAAGCAGAAAAGGTCAGATAAGGTGATTTTAGGGGAATGAACCCTAAGATATGTATTAAAATGTTTTTTTTTCTTTCATGTGATTCTTTCTAACACATTTATAAGATTATTTCTTTGTTGCTTTGTACGTCCCTCCCCCACAGTATAACCCCTGTTTTCACTGTATTTGATGTCAGTATAATTTGTGGAGGAGAAGGGGAAAAACAAATCTTTTAAATAGGGATACATGTGGACCCATTGCAACAATGAGATGTACAAGTCGTTATGTTGAAAAATGAACTTTACAACTTTGGTGGGGGGGGGTAGCCGGGAGGATTGGGTGGGGGGTGAGGGGGAGGATGGGAAGGGATGGGAAGGGGAAACAAAGGAGGAGGCTACAATGCTTGATAAGAAATGTACTCATTATCTTGCCAATATAATTGTAACCCCTCTGTACAGTATTTTCACACAAAAAAAAGATTTAAAAGATGGGCACTGGTGGCTCACTGCTATAATTCTCGTTACTTAGAAGGTTAAGAATGGGGGGATTGGGTCTGAAGACAGCCTGGGCAGAAAAATTCTCAGCCTACAGCTGGACACAGTGGAGCACAGCTGTCATTGTAACTAGAGGCTGAGATTTAGAGGATCCTGGTTCTAGGTCAGTTCAGGTAGGAAGACCTCACCTCACTGATAGAAGCTGGACATAGTGGCATGCACTTGTCATTCCTTCTATAACAAAAAGCCAGGACCCTAGATCAGGCACATGCCCAAGCAAGAAGCAATACCCCATCTCAAAAATAACCAGAGCAGAAAAAGGACTCAGTGGCAGAGACTGCCTAGCAAGAATTAGGCCTGGAGTTTAAACTCCAGAACAGCTCTGTCCCCCTAAAAGATTTAAAGCCCTATCTATGAAAATTGTTCTGGGCACTTTCCAAAATATTGCTATATTTACTTCTTACTACCTTACTTCAATACTACTGGGAATTATTTACTTATCTCAGTTCCAATATTTTATTTATGTTTATAAGTATTTTAATGTTAGGTACATTTATTCCTCACAATATTCCACCCTGTTGGTATTTTACCCTCTTGTTTTAGATGAGACTCTTATAGTTCCTAGGGCTTGAGAGGAAGGAGCTACAATATTTTCTGAATTTAGACACCTTACTTTTTCTTCCATGCCACAGCTCCATCTTCTTTCCTTTTATGTTCTATGGCCCTTCTTAACCTTATGTAAGCACATTTATTTCTTTGGTCACACATTCACAGTCTCAAACGAACATTCATCCTAGTTTTTATTGTTCCAAGTGAGTTTGTGTTGGAGATCCATGGATAGATAGGGAGGTGCTATGGTAGGACTACAAAGAGTTGACAAGATCTACTATTCTACAAGTTTGAATTCTGAGTTGTGGCAGAATATTTCATGAAGGAACAATAAGTGTGCGTTATTAATTTCTAAAGTTGGTTTAATAAAAAAACACTTTTGACCAAATGGATTATTAAGTCTGTTATTTATTATCACCCAAATGATGGTGTGAGGAATGCCAACCTATAGTATATAGAAGCCAGGGGCCAATTCTTTTGAATTCTTGTTGTTTACCTGTTCATCTCCTTAGCCATTCACAATGTATCCTTTGAACCATCAGCATCACAATCTTCTGAAACCAGTCAATAATAAATGTATTAGATACCAGAGATGTACTATATCAGAACATTTGATTTAACAAGTTCTCTTATGATTATTCCTTAGCACATTAAAGTTTGATACAGCTAGTCTAGAGTAGCATTAACAGCAGTTTTGTTCTGTTTTCTTGAAATGCTACTTTTGCTTTGCTTGAAATGCATGCACACACACACAACTGAAAAATTCTTGATTATTTTGGTAAGATTATTATATGGTGTGCATTATTCCTTAGCCATCTTCCTGGAAATTCCATCTTTGGAATTCATTGTCAGTTACTTTTAATTCTAAAAAACATTTCATATAATTTCTTGACACAAGAACCATATTTTATTAACTCTTTGAGCTCACGCATTTCTTTGGGTGTAAGTGCTTTGTAGGTTGAATACTAAATGATCCAATGAATGAATATATGGAGAAATCTAAATATAAATTACCTGAAAACTGACAGTGTCTTATTTATCCTTTAATTGAGGACGCTTTGCAGAAAACTGCTCTGTTTCTTGGTTAATAAGTAGCTTTAGATGAGAAGACATTGTATATTGATTTCTAGAGCATGAGTGCAAAGGATGGAAGCAGAGAAAATGAAATACAATTGAATGTTACATTCAGTGCTAGGCAGCATCACAATTGTGTGTGTGTGTGTGTGTGTGTGTGTGTGTGTGTGTCCTGGGACTTGAATTTATGGCCTGGGCACTGTCCCTGAGCTCTTTTGCTCAAGGCTAGAGCTCTATCAGTAGATTCACCGCTCCACTTCTAGCTTTTTGCTAGTGTACTGGTGAGATAGGAGTCTCACAGATTTTCCTCCCCGAGCTGGCTTTGAACTATGATCCTCCTGTCTCAGCCTCCTGAGTAGCTAGGATTACAGGTTAAACCACCGGTGCCTCACAGCCTCACAGTTTTTGTATCATTAATTGCCACAGAATCCTGTGAAGCAGGCTTATTTTACAAGGGCAGACATGGAAGGCCTGAAATCAAAGTTCTTCCAAAAGTACACAGTTACTCTCAGAGCCTGATATTTCTTGGATGTACTTTTCAGTATCATTGCACTCAACAGCCCAGTTATTCAAAAAATTATTTAAAAGATTATTTAGCAGTCCTAGGAATTGAACCCAGTGCACCCCCATGTCTAGGAAGGCCACGGCTCCTCCACAGCTCCTCGGCCCTATTTCTGCAGAGATGGAGAGGTGGAAGGGAAATGTACAGGAAAATACAAATCAAAAACCACCCAATTCTCTGGGTTCTCCGGGTGCGTAGAAGACTTTGCAGCTCTGAAGAAATGAGCTTTTGTTCTCGTTTTTCAAATCAAACTATCCAGGAACAACGAAACGAAATGAAGTCCACCGGTCTTTATATTTTATTTTTCCTTCTGCAGGCGGAACTCAAGCGCTGCGGCCTGCGGACGCGGAGGGGACAGGAGACAGACGGACACCGAGCCGGGCCGTTGCCTAGCAACGCCCGCTGGCGGAGTCCGGGAGCAGCGGGAGGCGGTGGCCGGTTCTCTCGGTGCCGGCGGCCTGTCCCCGCGGCGGGGCGGCCTGGGGCCGGGGCGATGCCGCCGGAGGAGTCCGATCTGTCGCTCATTATCGCCCACGTCGTCCAGAAGCTGAAGGGCTCCAGTCTGTACGCGCAGCTGGAACGGCAAGCCTGGGGGGGGGGGGGGGGGCGCCGCGGGAGGGGGAGGGG